CTCTCTGCTTATCGCTTATAGCTCTGCGTTTAAAAGGAATGTTCTACTGACTACTTTAAAAAAAAAAAAAAAAAAGGAAAACTTTACAATTTTGTAATTTATGTTATGGCACACAAAGTTATTAATCATCATATATAACACTCTGAAGCTAATTAGGTTTATTAACCCATGAAAATTGGAAGATTAGTATTTACTAAAATTTAATGTTAAAAAGCTAAAATAATGTTAATAAATAGATTCAACTTAGAGATTAGAATGTTGAGACCAAATAAATAAAGAAGACAGAGAGTAAGAACAGACAAAATATTACATTAAAAATTAATTATCTTAAAATTATAAAAATTTAAATAAAGTCAATTCTAAAAGAGCAAAAAGTATTATTTTATTGATGAACAATTATAATGTCAGTACATGAATCCAAAGCACAAGGATGAATCCAAAATACAACACAGCATGTAAATTTGAGATTTCACCGTTTAAATTAAAAATTCTTGTACTGGCACTCTTTAATATTCCTTTTGAATACCACACATTTGAATTTCATACCACACGTTAAACATAAAAATAGGTACAATAAATTTTTTTTTCATTATTTTGTAAATTCTAAACATATTTAAAAACTAAAAATTTATTGCCTTTGTGTCTGATTTTAGAAATACTTGTGAAACACTTGGTGACACTTGTCGCCATACTGTTATAAATCACCCTAGTTATAAATCAGCTTTATTTGCAGAGTTATTTGTAAGTTAAAATCTGATTTTTCTACATTCAAGATCATCAAAAGATTACAAAACAATTTTGATAAAAATATATGTATGTTTCTAAATTAAAACTATTACTTAAAAATAAATTATGCTTTAGTTTATCCTAACATGTTTAAGTTGATTAGGAATGTTATTCTATCATTATTAAAATTATCACTTATTTCTGGAATATGCTTGTTTTACTTTGCTTATTATTTTTAGAAGGTTGTGAGTTCTGAAGTAACAGCATTTGACATGGAAAAAATTCAATCAATATTAAAGCAATTGTACAGAGAATGGAGTGTAGAAGCCAAAGAGGAAAGAGATGCATCTTTCAAACCCATTATAGATGAAGTAATCGCTCTTTTTCCTTGTGAAAACCTAGTGTAAGTTTGCACTAAATTTTCTATTGAATTTTATAACTTGCTATAGCACTTTTTTTGCTATAAAATTTATGAAACTGGTTTATTAGCAAGGTCTTTGTGCAATATAGTGGTAAGATACTTTTCATCCAAGGTTAAAATTATCATTTTTCCTTAGTTTTGTTTCCCAATAGGTGCTTTATAAGTTTTTATTATTCAAACTAGATGGAAGTATAATAAATATGATTACATTGTTTGCATGGAAATATAGGTGTTTTACACCATAAAGGCTTTTGAATAATTTGAAAGTGAATTCTTGAATAATTTAAAAATATGGCTTATTATAATATTGCTGCAAGCTCTTCACGATAACAAAGTTTCTAAGCTAATTTTATCCTAAGAGAACATTAAACAATTAAAACAATTGAGTACTTGATTAAAGTAATCATTCATGGAATAATTAAGATTGCATTTCCTTTTTTTATGAAAATAAATACTTTAAATTACATTTGAGTTTAGTTGGCATAAACTTTAACAAAAATAGATACACCAATAGTAAAAGTAATTTAACAAGATTAGGGTTGTTGTATTAATTTATTTGTTTTTTAGAGGATCATTTGTATGCCATTAAAATTAGTATAGTGTCTTAAAACCTTTTTAAGTTATGTATATGTATAATTTTTTATAAAAAAAATAATGTTATACTCTGTATATTTTAAACTTTCTAATAATTATGTAAGTTATAATCATGCAAGTTATTTTATTCTTTGATATATATATGCTTATTCTTGATGTAAATATGCTTTTAAAACTAAAATAACTAAAATTTATCAAGCGTTTTTAATAGTAGCAGATTGTGTTTGACAAAGATTTTTAAAAAAAAAAATATTATCCATAATAATAGTTAAGCTTTTAAATTATTAAGAAAATGTTGTATTATTTTGGTTAAAATTGCTATTAGTGTTGTATGTGCAAACAGACATTGATAATTGAGAGCTGAAATAATCGGCAAGGAAAAGGAAAGTTTGAATTGCTGAGAAATTTAAATAACAAAAGCACTTTTTTCAGGTCTGTTAAATGCCTGAAACATTATTATGTCAATAAGAAAATTTTTACTAAGAAAATATTTTATCATACTTGTATTATATAAAAAATGGTTTACAATCTAGCTAGGAAATTGTAGTTTTACAAAAAATTGAGCAATTTTTGATTATTTGATTCAAAAATTTGTTTTATTTTAATTCTTTCTTCAATATATTCACTAAATTAACATATATGAAAACGCACTTCTAATGCTCATGCTGTATAATTTGTTCTTTCAATCTTTATTATTTTTTGATATCACCTTCTGTCTCATTATCTCCACTATCTACTTTTTTCTTCAAAATTACCTTGATAAATTGTATCATTTTTTTGTTGTTTTTCAAATTGACTAAAACTTTGATTTTTTAAGAACTATTATCCACAAAATGCTAAGAAAATTCCTTTTTAATGTCACTGTAAAGTAAAAAATTAAAAAATACTTGTTTTTAATAAGTCAAGGTTTACTTTACTGGGGATGGTCAGCTATTTGGAAACAGTTGAATGTATACAAACATTGTTTCTTCTAACTGCAAAGGTTTTGCATAACTTTTAATTTTTGAAATATTTCATTGAAGATCAGGTTTGAAGCTTTTAGAAATGTTGTCATCTTTTCCAATGTAAAGTTTATGTTGACTAAAATTAATGCCGTGAATTATGGTGGAAATTAACTGCATCAAAATTTCTGTTATTGAAAGTATAAAACTTTTATGTTTTTTCATTCATTTTGTTAAATAATAATTTTGCATTTAATAAAAATGTCATTTCTAAAAAGGTACAATAAAAATGTTTCAACAATGCAACTTATAAAATTTTCCATAAGCTCTTGCAGTAAAAGGAAAAGTAGCTCACATAGGACTCAGCAGTATTTCCCCATTATAGTCCACTTGAATGTTAATCATTAAATCACTAAGGTAGCTCAATGCATATTTCAAGTAGTATAAGGTAGCTCAATATAAGGTAGCTCGTATATAAGGTAGCTCAATGCATCAATGCTAGTGATTCCCAGGTCACTAAGGTAGCTCAATGCATATTTATTTAGTAAAATGCTATTTCTAATATGAATGTATGTAAAACTAAACAATATCTGTTTGCATCTCTAACGTTTAATTTGTTTTAAAATGTAAATTATTAAATTTCCATTTGAACTGGAAAATTAAACTATAGTATTTATGGGATATAAATTATTGCTTAATTTGACTACTTATTAATTGGTAACTATTCTGGATCAATCTACACTTTATGCTTAAAAGATTAAATTTTTAATTTACAGTGATGCATCCAAATTTCAAATTCTTGTTCCTGGGGCTGGATTGGGTAGACTTCCTTATGAAATAGCCAGAAAAGGATATTCCTGTCAAGGAAATGAATTTAGTCTTTTTATGCTGTTTGCCTCAAATTTCATTTTGAATAAGTATGTAAAATTTTAAACAAAGTTATTTTTCATTACGTTTTTATCATTATTTTAAAGAAATGAATTTTAGTTACATTATGATTTTTAATTTTAACAATATTTTGTTACTAGTTGTGAATTTAAAAAAAAACATTGATTTGGTTTTTCACTTATTTATAGGTGATAATTTCAATAATTGTTATTTTTTGAGAGCAATTTTTGCATTTTGATATATATATAATGAGTTTAAAAAATATAAATATTTTCGTTTGTATTGTAACACACAATTTCTCATAAAAAATAATTCATTGTACTAAAATAAAATTTAGGATTATTAAATATTTGTCTTGAAGACAGACTTTTTCTTAGATATCTCCAAAACTTCAAACATTTTTTCCTTAATGGTCATGATATTTATTTTCATATTTGGTATACCAAAATAATTCCAATTTGATGACATGAGGCAATTTGATGAATGTTAACTCTAGTTAACTGAATATTTGTTAAGCAGACTGTACCAATTGTAATGTTACCATAACACTTTAACATCTTTCAACATTGCAATAATTTAATTTTATCATTTATATGTATTTTAATAAAAATTTAAGAGTATTTTCTTTAAACAACATTAGCTACTAACAAGGATATAAATGAAGAAAATATAAAAAATCTAAAACTAAGCATGTTTTTAATTTATAGTTTATGAGTTAAAGCCTTAGCCAGAAAGCAAGTCTGAATAAACTTTAGTTATCTAAAGTTAGTGTATTTCAGGAATATAAATATTTTTTATTTACATAAATCCAAAAGATCGGAAATCAGATAATTTTAGTAATTATGTTACTGTTTTCTTCAGTAAGTACTCAAATTAATTTATAGTTTTTGAAATTATTAATTATTATAATAACAATTAAATTTTAGTTTTGTTAGAGTTAAAAATTGTTCGACAGGTTCTATTTTAATCCGCTGCAGTTCATTATTCATTCTGACTGGACATCATAAATCACCACTCTAAAATTTAAAATTTTTATATCTTAATATTTAATAACTTCATTATTTTATGATAGTTAGTTATTATGTAAGAATATTGTTTTATGCGTTTCAAATTATTTAGTTCTTACATTAGTTTAAATAGCACTTTAGAAGGTGTTAGATGCTGCTGTGAGGTTATTTGAAAGATCATGAATAATAATCCATTTAAAGAAATTTAACTATCTTTATTAAAACATAAGAAATAATATAAATATAAAGAAAAAAAGAATAGCGTCTATTATTATTGGGTGCAAAAGCATGACTAACTCATTGATTTATGAGAGAGGAATGAGGCGGAAGAGAGATATTCCATTGGCTAATTAAATAATAGAAAACTAAAAGATAGTTTTAGAGCAGGCATCAAATATCCGTGCTATAGCATTTTAAAAAGCTTTTGCGACAAAGGGTTAAAGTTATAATTACTTTAAGTTTTTCTCAACTGTAGAAACTTTAGTTATCAATGAGATTCATGTTGTTTTCTTGTTAACTATATTTTGTCAGCTTTCTAAATATATTTAATATTAAATTTAGATGTCAAGGTACAGATCTATATAAGATATATCCTTGGGTACATCAATATTTCAACAATTTGAAATCTGATGATCAGGTTCAAATGGTACGCTTTCCGGATGTTAATCCATGTGATATACCTTCTAAGTTAGATTTTTCAATGGCCGCTGGTAGCTTCATAGAAATTTATAAAGAATCAGGTAATTGAATTTACTATAATTTTGATTTTCTGAAAAAAGAATCTTTAAATAAAAAAAAGTTTATTATTATGATTGTGACAAAAATACCGTACATATACTATATACACAATATTGTATGCGATGTTAATTTATACTTCTAAAGTTGTATGTATTTGAATTCAAAATTTTAGAACTTAATGGGGCACCTTTAAGTGACTGAATCAAAGGACATATCATTAGAATTTTAATAATCATATTTGTCTATACTCAATGTGGGTAATTGTGAATACATTTGAGGTATTTGGCAGTTAATCGTAATTTATTACTAAACAAAGAGATACTAAAAATTGAATGAATGGTATAAAATTCTACTTATTTCAAGCTGGATATCAGATTCAATATTTTATTTCAGCTTTTGATAACTGAGTTATTAGGCATTCACAATTGTCTACCATTTTGAGGTAAATGTGAATTGTATGTGGCGAATAACTTGAATAAAGTTTAAAACCAAATATTTTTAATTACAACCAGAGTTTAAAATTTTTGATGTTAAGTATTGATTCAAGTAAATATCCAAGTATGTGTATAAAATTTGTTGTGATATCCATTATTTTGCTCTAGAAACCATAGTTCAAGACACTCAAAAATGGATTAAAGCAAATATTTCTTTCATTTTTAAAATGACCATCTTATTCACCAGATTTGAATCCAATGATTTGGATCTTCTTAAAGACATTCGTTTGTACTAAATATTACTATGTTTTGGCATTCCTAAAAAATTCCTCATACAAGGAATGGAATCAAATACCAGTAGGTTAGTTTGAGCCCATAACAGATCATTTTTTTTAGGGGTTTACAGCTGTAAATTTATTCCAAAGTTGATCACTTTGGAATTTTTCATAAATATACTGGTAGTAATGTTTTCATTTTTAATTGGAAATTTGGCTATGTTTTATAAGCATTAAAATATTAGTATCAAGCAGAGTTCGTAGTTGTCCTGATTTTCCTTTATTGATGAAAAATATTTTGTAGTTAGTTGTCCTGATTTTTGTGTGTTCAGAATATGGCTTTTTCTAAGATGAAATTTTGGATTTTGGAATTAAAAGGAATCATAAAATTGGGATTTTGTGGAAACATCTTTTTATTATAATTAATAATGCTAATAGAAATTCCAAAATTCAATAGTTCAAATTTAGGATCTTTCTACAAGTTATATGCATTTTACAGGTATCCACAGAAATTATCGCTTAAACCTTTTTGGGAATTGAGTTATTATATGGAAAAGAAACTCAATTAGCAAAGTAACTCTGAAATGAAAATTGTATATATTATTTTCTTTTGTGATAAAATTCACTTTTATTGCGCATTAGCATTGAACAAATTAGATTTTTTTAAAAGTTGTCTTTTATAAAAGTAGCTTAAAAGTACCGAAATTTTTGAAAAATTTTGTCCTGCTTTTTTCTTTGGCCAACTATGAAACCAGTTTCAAGTTATTGTTTGCCACTCTTTACAAATAATTTACTTGATTGCCATTACATATTTGCTAAATTTATAAATTTTAATGTTATACAGATTTCTTTAAAAAACATTTTATGTTTCATAATTTTTTTTTAATGTTTTAGATGCCTGGGATTGCATAGCTACATGTTTTTTCCTTGACACAGCAAATAATATTATTGACTATATTGAAACAACGTGGAACATTTTAAAACCCGGTGGTTATTGGATAAATTTAGGACCTCTTCTATATCATCATGCTGATATGCCAGATGAAGATTCGATTGAACCAAGTTATGAAGAAATAAGATATATAATTTTAAAATTTGGTTTTGTTTTATTGGTAAGAAATTTTTTGCTATTTGATAATTTCTTTTAAAGTTGAAAGCTTTTCTATTTCTCCAATTGTTTTAAACATTTTTCAGAAATCTGTAAAGTATTCATTATTGCAATTTTAAATTGTAGCGTTTGTTAAAGTTTTTTCATAAATCATCTTGATTTGTTTACTGCTGTTTTTGCCACATTTAAGGACTTTTTTGTTATTCTAGAAGAAATATTTTTTAAACTTAAATTTTTCTTCATAAAAAATATCTCTACGATCTAATAAAGAACAATCTTATACCTGCCAAGTCTCCTGTTTTTTAACAAAAACTCCTTTATTTTTATATTACTCCTGTTTACCTGCATATTTTCATATTTCCTCATATTTGTTGAAGAAATTAAAACAAAATATTTTTTGCCGATAAAATATCCGCTGATTTCAAAAATACTTCTCTTATTCCTCAGCTATTCCTGCTGTTTCTAGTACTGCAATATGATGAGTGTATATAGTTTAAGTAATTATAAATAATGGTTTAAAAATATCTTCTTTAGATTAACACTTCCTGTTTATAGAATAGTTCACATTAATAATGTTTAGAATTTTGTTGAAAGAAGAAGCAACAAATGCAGATTTTATTCGTAAGAATAATGAGAATTTAATCGGAAAATACATAATAATCCTTGAAATTTGAATTACAGTTTAAAAAATAAGATAGAAAAAAAACTAATTTGATACTCTTAGTTCCAAGGAATAATTCTATTTATTTTTGTTGTAACCATTTTTTATATTTCTGATTTTTTTATTTTCTCAGTTACATTTATGTATATATTTTTCCATTAAAAAAGACTGAAAATATTTATATATTCTAAAACTACAGAAAGTCTCATCACAGTTTAGGACCTTACTTGTAAATATTTGATAAAAACTTTTCTTCTACAAAGGCCTTGTTGCATATGATACATGAATTATGATTTTTATTATTGATTAAACCATTGTATATGTGGGTGTTGTAATTGGATAGAAAATGGATTCTTGAAAGAAACTTTTCTTTCTTCAAAAGTATCATAAGCTATTTTTTTTCCATCTAAGTTTTAGTACTTTTTTGAACTTAGAATTATTGAATCTTGTTTCTATATTTCTATTATTTTTGAAAAAGATGGATATTGCATGGATAGTAATGGTAATTTAAATTTTCACTCTACTTACAAACTGACTTTTTAATTTATTTTGATAATCTATAAAAAGTGCATCTTCTAATAAATCAGAATAAATGTTAGTATTGAATATTGATTAATATTTGACAATTATTTAGTGAAAGTGCTATTTTTATTAAATATTTTGTTAATTTGTTATTTTAATTAAATATTTTCAACATGAATCATTTTTAGCTTTAAAAAGTTGCCAAGTTCAGTGATATAAAGTGTTCTTTGGTAAACTTATGAAAAATTATGAAACAGGCTGTTGTCGTCTTTGTACATAATGCTTAAAGATTAGCTTTGTATCCGAGTACTTTAGAGGCAAGGATTTCATTTGTTGTTGTTGACACTGAATCTACTCACATATTTCTTCAAATTTATTTCTCATTTGAAGTACTAGATCCAATCCATTTAAGTAATGAGTCCAAACTATCAGATATACTGATACCAAGCTATCCCTTAGATAAAAACCATGATTCTATATACAACAAAGTGCTACTCTAATACTAACACATCTGAAAAAGCATCAAGCTTTTTTCCTTACCATGTGAAGATTTCAACTCTTCCTGCTTTAATGTATATAACACTTTTTTGTGATAGTAAACTGAAATTCTATATGGCCAAGGATTTTGCTTTTTTAATATTTTTAGTTAAATTTATTAAATTCAATGTATAAATATTTTTATTATTTTATTGGATAACATTCAGTGTTGAATAGCTGATCCAATTTTGAGTTTACGACTATGAATATTCACCTCCATAGTCTTAAAATTTTTAGCTTACTCCAGAAATCAGGGGAATTCCTGGATCAAGCAATATAAAAAATTAGCCTCTGAGGAGGACTTTTTGATGGAACTAAACAGTGTTTGTGTTACATGGAGAGGAAAATCATTAAAATCTCTCCTGGTTAGCACCATAGCAAAAGGATTCTAACTCATAATAAATCTACCACTGCTGTTATTTTATGTCAGCAGTGATCCTTTGATTTTTTGAAAATTTCTCATTTGTAAATAGCATGCTCCTAACTTCAAGTAGATAGGTCCAGACTTTATTATGTTTATATTGAATGTTTCTTTAATAGATATGTGTTAAAGAAGACAAAAAGAATTTTTTTGTTGCTTAAAACCTGTGATTTAATTATTTTAACTTCTTTCTACTTTTATTGAATTAATTTTCATGTTTAATATGATGCATATATAAGGGGTTGACTTTTTTAACTATTCGAAGAATAAATATGGATAAGTTACTACTTATAGTCTTTACATGAACGTTTTTCCGTAAACTTTTAATGCTGATTTTTCTTCTATCTCTTCATATTTTTTGCCATCATATAGCATAATTAAGTTTATAAGACATTTATCCAGGAAAAATGGCTGAGTCACTAAATTGTAGAGTGTTTATTTTTAAAATTTACTGTATCAACAGAAAAATTTCTATTAAAGTTAAATGAGGACTCTATTGTGACGTGGGACAAGAAAGAAAAACTTTTAAAATGTATTGCTATGAGGTTTTAAGTATTTAGGTTCTGTAGCAATAATTTATAGATGAAATAAAATCTTGAAGTTAATTTTGTTATATTTTTGAGAAAATATAAATGCATAGTTTGCTTGTACCCTAGCATTACGATTACAACAGCATTAAGTTATGATTTTTATATTAGTTAAAGTAATTAATTGATCAAACATGGTATTAGCTTAATGTAAGTCTTTTTATGTCTGATAAACATACTGCTATCTTTTTTTATTTCTTATTATTTAAAATTTTTCTTTTTCAGAAAGAAGAACTGAATTTGGTGACCCCGTACTCTCAAAACCCTCGATCAATGATGTCCTATGAGTATAAAAGTGTTTTCTTTGTATGCCAGAAACCTGAATCTGCTTGTAGAAAGCAAGAATGTTCTTGATTACCTTATATGTAAATAGTTTGAAAAAAATATACAAAATTCCTCATCGTCAAATGTTGTAATTTTATTCATTAAAACATTTTTATAATTTTAATTAATTTGGTGAATTAATTAAACAGATATTTAATAGAATTTTAGACTTGGTTATCTTTTTTTTATTGTTTTAATTAAAATTATAGTTTTTGGAAAGAAAAAAAAAATGCAGTTTAGGAGGGGCTATGTTCCAATCAAAACATTATTTCTTAAATATCAATATCTTAAAAACATTTGAACATTAAAATTTTTAATTGTTTTAAATGCTTTTTTTACTGAATAATTGATGAATCAAATACAGAGTTAGAAAAAATTTTGCAAAGAATGAAATTTTTTGAAAAATCATTTAAGATGCGTGAAAACCAGTTATATGAAAAATTGCCCTATAGACCCAATGATGCAAAAGGTTTCAGAGCTTTTTGGGTGCAGACCTGTTGACTTCTACAAATTTTAGTTGAAATTTTTGTTATTTAAAGTGTAAGCAAAATATATGCTTTAACATTTAATTCCATCACCACAATATTCCAATTTTCACCCAATTACTGATTTTCACCACTCTTTAATTGCATTGCTACTTTGGAAAATTAGTACAAAACCTCTCCAGCAAATCACAATATAGTGTGACATGTAAATAATAATTAATGTGAGAAAATAAACTTGTAATAAAATGTGAGACATGTTCTTTTTCACATGTGTAAATACCATGTGAGAAAACAGACAGTTTATCAACTGACTTAGTAAACAGGAAATCGGACTGCAAAGCAAGTTGACCGATTCTAAACTGAGTTCTGGCTACTAAGTTTATTTTTCTCAAGTTTCATAATTAGTTATAAATTTAGTCAACGGGTGACGTTGCTAACTGAGACGAACTATAAAACATAGTTTTCAAAACTACCATTTGGTTTAACAACTTTTCAGTCTGAGAATAAAACTAACAGACGTTCATAGAAATATTTTTATTGAAACTGTTTAGCATGCAACAGAAAACATTATTTTATAGTTTTCGAGGCAACAATGCCACCTGCTAATAAACTTTGTAGTTTTTTAAATTTGGAAGAAATAATTACTTGATTTTCTAAAATAAACACAGCAAACTGTACATCTACTTTCATTAATGATTTTTCAAATTGTTGGTCTTATTTTTGACATCCACTATATCAAAGTTTAGTCACTTTCTGGCAAATTATATTTCAATGTTTTTAATGTATTACTTTTTTCATTTATAAACTTATCAAACATTTTTAAGTAATATTATTTCAAATTTTTTTATTGTTTTACTTGGAGCATTTTCACGGCATTTGATTCACGCATGCACGAGTTGCTCATCTTACATGTAGTTTTGAACATTTACATTCGTGTCTAGGGCACTCCTGTTCAGTGTGAATGCTCTCAACCCTCAATAAATTTAAAATGTTGATTTTGCCTTGCGTCAGGCGCAAAATTAAAGAATGGCGAACATTTTTTTGATTGCATATCTTAATTTTTTATACAAATATGTACTAGAATTACCATAAAAATGTAGAGATATTAATTTTCCTGATACTGATCTTTTTGGTTAGTATTATCATACTTAGTTCATTTATGTTCCTGAGCTGTTAAGGGTTAAAAAATTAAACTTTTGAGTTTAATGGATTGAACGACATTTCAAAACGTTTATCGACGGCTAACAATCTGAAACGGTTAGCTGTATACTATTTATAAACATGTTCCTATTTACATTTTCAGACGATCTTTCTTCATATTTTGATTTATTCTTATTTTTTAATATTTTATTTAATATTTCAGGCGTTTTATAAACTTTTTTACTGCTTTTACATTAATCGATTTATCAAACCTTTTTTTTTTCAAAATTATAGTAATTGATAGCAACTATATGGAGTTAACTAGTTGATATAGATATGTTTATGAATTATTCTTCTGAAATATTATTTCATCTAAAGTTTGTTAACTGTAATTAGGGCACTTTTATTGTTAGTTATAGAATTTTTAGTGCTATGTTTTCGGCAATAAATTAATGTAGAAATATTTAAGCAATCAGAGGAGAAAATAGATTTCATCAAAATCATCTATTTCTATATAAAAGCATCTATTGCTATATAAAATTATTGTTTTATTTTGTTTTAAAAGATATTGGGAGTTAAATTATAATTTTTGAATTAATACAAATTTATAATTTTTAAATTAATACAGTATGGGCACTTCTTTCTTATTGTTACTCTGCAGCTGATCTTAAGAATTCTTCATAACCAATTTCTATGGCTGGAAATATTTGTGCTTAATCAAAGGAAAAAGTTTTGCTCTCTTCTAACTTTGCAGTTATCTCTGCTTATTGTATTCCTCAAATTCATTGCATTCAATTCTGAGTGACACAGATATTACATACACTATAGTGTTAAGCTGTATACAGCTTAAAAAAAATAAAAAGAATTAAAAGCGACATTAATTAGCATCACAATGCACCAGAAATTGAAATACACTTTGTTGCAAATAAATATAATTTCAAAGATACATATTTTTCCATGCTCTCTGCATAAAATTATTTAAATAATAATGATTGTTAACAAATAATATTAATTTACTGATTTTGTGATATTATTGACATAATACTGAATGAGAAGGTGCTACTTTGGTTATCTGGAAAAATATTGTTTTATGCTTTAATAATACAAAAGAAAGTTACAAGGACAAGATATTGAAAAACGTACAACATAAAATGAGTCATTCTATTAGAACGAACAGTAAAATTAGAAATCCCATTTAAATGTTAATAATGAGTCTGAAATATATTCTAGAAAATGGTATATTCTAGTATTATTTAAATAATAAAATTTGAACAATGGTAGCGCCTACTTCTCACGTAAAGCATTTATTAGCACAAAAAATTATTACTTACAAAGTTTTGGTTTTTACTTTTATCTTCTTGGTTTTTACTTTTATCTTCTTATTGTTATACTAATTTATTTCCTATAGAATTTTAGACTATTAAAAACAATTTTTTTTAATTGAGGAAATATGATTAGTTTGAGTAAAATTTCGGTAACGAAATTATATAAAATCTGCTATCAGAAAATGTCGTAAAAAGTATACTATGAAAATCAATTCTTTAAAAGTAATCAGTCCAATTCGTTCTTGTAAAATCAAGTAACAGTTTAAAAATGTATAAGCGATAACTGTTTGATATGCCTTTAGCACTCGTGTTTTTAGAACACCTAAAGTTACTTTCTAATTCAGCTACGTTCCAAAATAACAAAACCGAAATTATTATGAACGATAAACTCTGTAATGGGTTTAAACTTCGTGAAGCCACGTCAGAATGCAAACGGAGCTACCGCATCGTTGATAACAACTGGCGAATTTTTATGCAAATGTAATTTTTTAAAAAAAAAATTTCAACACAAAATTAGATTTTAATTTTATGTTTAAGATTAATGATGTATTATAAAAGTCAGCTGGGTATAATTTATTTTGGTTTCGCCCGTTTATTCTATGTTATATACAGGGTCTTTATATATTTTTATAATCTTTGAAAATATTATGTATATATATAACAGCTTACGTTGGATTTTTCCATGGAAGATAATGATGGTTACTCATATCAGGAATGTTGGGATTTCACACAGATTCATAAAATATGAAAAAGCCACGCATTTTCGATGACTCCTGCTATTTAACCAGGGAATTGGTTGCAAGAATATCCTTAACTTAATAAAACGTCATACAAATCGGAAAATTTGGCGATTTTGATATGTTCCAAAACATGACGCTGTTCAGACGATAGGGAATTTTTGGGATTTTTTTAATAAGTATTTTTCTAAGACCCATTAACTTCCGAAAAAAATCTTTTAATTGCATATGATTTAATGTAGAAAGACTAGTATGAGACATTCTATATTCTCTCTTTCTCCCTCTCACTGTGTGTGTATATATAATATATACATGCATACAGAGCTTGGACAAAATAATAGAAACTCTTCTATTCTGACCTATAACTAATTTTTTCACGTTTCTCGAGAAATACTCAGAGAATTAAGAATTGTTTTAAAACTTTAGAAGCGTTTAAATCATGCGATTTGAGGGACCGGCAATAAATTACGAACAAAGAATGTTTTTGAACACCTTATATGTACAAAAAAATACAGTGATAAGCTTGTAACTCATGTCAACTACGTTGATTATATGAAATAACTGTACAAAATTTGATAAACCTAGCTTAAATATTCATTTAGATATGGACATTTTTATAAAAAACTAATTTTTTTTGAATTAACGTTTTCTCACTATAACTGTAGAGACATTCAATGAAGTTAACCAAAATTTTTAGAGTAAATTTTAATTAATAATAAAAATCGCATTCCAAACGTTGAAAAATTTTTTTTTAAAAATAGATCACAATATGAGTATTTTAAGTAACCCGTTCATACTGCGCATGTGCGGAAAAAATTTAAAATTTTTTTTCTTCTTTATTTTGTTTAGTATTTGGTAACTTTGGACAAAGCTCTAAATGATAAGGGACTTTCGATAAATTTTATTTTGTATCATACAACAAAATTTCATAACAAATGATAATACCCTAAAATGGTAGTCCGGACAACAAAATGCGATGATATTAGGAAAAAAGCAAATATAATTTAATAAGGAATTATTCAATAAGGAGTAACAAAATTTAATAGGGTCCTATATAATGAAGAAGTCATTTTTAATAAATCTCGTTTAACAGTACAAAATTAATTTTGTGTTAAACCCCTTATGACTTTGAACATACAATAAAAAAGTACAAAAGCTACTCAAACATTTTTTTGAAACTTTTTAAATTTTCAAGATATTCAATTCGAACTTTTTTCATAAGTTACCAATTACGATTCCAAACAAGATAATGATTTTTTTTAAATTTTTTTTCCTGCTCATATCTAGTATGAAAAGATTACTTTATATACTAATATCTTACGCAATTTTTAAGATTTTTTTTGAAATTTTAAAATATTTTTTTTATTAATAAAGAATTACTCTAAATATATTGTGTAATTTCATTGACTATTTCTGCAGTTATAGTATAAAAACGTAAGTAAAAAAAAAAGAAAAAAAAAAGAGTTCTCTTTTAATAAATTGTCCATATCTCTGAATATTGAAGCTAGGTTTATGAAATTATGTGCTGTTATTTGATATGATAATCAACGTAATTGACACGAGTTACAAGCTTCTTGCTGTATTTTTTGTTCAGAAACATTCTTTTTCTTTCGTAATTCATTGCTGGTTTCTCAAAACTCCAAAAACTTTAAACGTTATTGATATGTATAAAAAAATCGCATGACTTAAACACTTCTAAAGTTTTAAAGTAATTATTAAAGTAAGTAAAATTTTAAAGTAGAAATATTAAAAACGAGTTTTGTATATATATATATTGTTTTTAAAACATTTAAAAAATAAACATTTTGATTTAGGAGGAAATTTCGAAACTCCTCTATAAAATGCAAAATTTGACAAAATATATATTTTTTATTTCAGAATTGTCAGAAATTGTTTTTTGTTTGTTCATCAATACTATTATTCTGTTCCTTTAATTTTGAACCAGGAATATTTAGCGCTAAGCTCACTTCAAATTGTTCGAATTCGCTTATTGGCTGTTGTATTTTAGAATATTTAGAAAAACATATTCTTGGAATTGATAGTATTTTGCATTGTTCTTTGGTGTGTAAACAAAAAGTTTGTTGTAATATTTGTAGAGTTATGAAATATGCTCTGGAATCGAGAGATTAGTTGTGAGGAACGGAGTTTATACATCAGGAGTTGTCTCTTGCAAGTGCTCTTACCATTTGAGGTGAGTGCAGAGACGCATTTGAGGTTTAGTGTCCATTTCAGCTCAGTTATGTCAACTCAATTAAGAATTGTTGCTGTCATCTTTTGCTTAGTTTCTTTTTATCTCGTTACATCAGAAGGTAAATTATCTTTTCTTTAAGTCTGTCGTCTCTTTATGTTAAATTCAACGTGATGATTTATATAAGTACCTCTTTTAAGTTTATATAATCTTAAGCGTACTTCTAAAATTAACCATATTAACCATATCGTCGCCTTATGTTAAACTCAACGTGATGATTTATATGAGTGCCTCTTTTAAGCTTATATAATCTTAAGCGTACTTCTAAAATTAACCATATTAAAAAATGGTTTACATAAAAATAAGTTACATTTGAGTTATGGTTGAAATAATTATACACTAAGAAAATTGTTAGAATAGCAGTAGTCTGTGCACTGGCGTAGTTTTAATGAATGTTCGAGGGCGGTTATCTCCTTTTGATATATATATTCTAACTACTTAAGTTACTAAAAACGAATTATGAAGACCTTTTTGTATCTACATCCTCCTTACCGTACAATATCTCTTTAATTTAGTAATGTATAATTTCGGAGGGTTTTTTATCCCTTAAACCCTTCCCAAACCTGCGCCACTGAGTCTGAGGGAGTATCATGGCGCAGTTAGTGTAGCCTATGGGCCACACTTATTCTTTCACTAGGTTAAGATCTGTTCAGCTAAAGTACCATTAAGTGGGGAGGGATTTAGAAATTTAAGAAAGACTTCTCATTTTTCTCGATTTTGCGAATTGAGTATTCATAGTGTGGAGAAGCGAGGGAGGAATGTTCGTTGACACTAGCTGGGACTGAATCAGGGACCTTTGGCTGTGCAGCCGGATGCTCAAACCTCCATGGAAATGGAGGGTAATGCAAGGGTAAATAAAGAAGCTCGTTCACTGGAGGGTGGGTGAACGCTGCACATTCACCCACCCTCCAGTGAACGAGAAATTTTGACTCGTCAGCTGTAAGCGTTTCACGTGATTGTGATCATGTGTGGCTGCGTGACCTAGGGAGTTGCCACTCCAGTACCGTAAGGGTTTGACGTTTGAGACCAAGATGATTTGATTGTTCCACTAAGGAACGGGCCGAAGTAGTGTAGTTCTGCAATCAGCCGAAGAATTTTGGTCCGTGGCTATCAACGTGGGGGAATGTGTGAGACAGATTTTCGTTAAATTCGTAGTACTTTCGTTAGGTTAGGTTTCGTTATGTTCGTTTCGTTATTTTTTGGGTCTTCATTCGGATGCTCTAATCATATAGCAAAGAGTGTACACGTCCGACTAGGGAGCGTTAGGATTTCTGTAATGGACGCTGTAATAGTATAATTTTAAATATTTTAATAGTATAATATAATTTTTACTCACTTTTGTCCCCTAACTAGTGCAAAGTAATATCACTGTAGTTTCGAAATTCGCTCAAACTGTGTGACAATTAACCAGTAAATAAGAATCGTGGAACCGGTGTTGGACAGATGGAGCTTCTTTCCCCTTATATTTTATAAATGTAGAGACTCAGCCTCGTCTAAGATTGCAATTTTTCAATCAATATTTGTGTAATTAAACTTACAATTAAAAAAATAGATAATTTTTTCGTGTCATGAATAATAATTTTTTTTTTATTTCATTAAAGATTCAATCTCACTTTCGGAGGTCTGAACTCGCCCGAATTCGAAGAATTTTATTCCAAGCGTGAGATACATAGAATTACTTAGAATTCGAAAGGTCAAAATTTGCAGTCTCGTTACTCGGTCTTTTATGTTTAAAGGAGGAAATATTGATCATTAAAACCTTTTTATCACAAACCTTTAAAACAAAAAGTGAAGAGAAAAACTGAACAGACGGAAACTTCAAGATGATTATAACTTAAATTAAAAAGGAAAATCTCCAGACAGAACAACAATAAAAGACCTCTGTAATTTTTTACAGATCTTTTTTCCGTAAATTCATCTCTATCTCTTATATAAGAATTTTATTCAACAGAATGATTTTTTTTGAGAATGTTATGAAGTTTTTATTTTGCACAAACAAGCACTCTTGATTCAAGCTGTTTTTATGGCAGCACTTGTTTTCGATTTCTTACTGTAGGTAAATACATTAAGTTTGAAATTTAATAACCAATGTAATACTATCGTATTTATAAGTATTATATATAAATTTTTTTAAGCTCTCATGGGATTTAAGCATTTTATCTTTTAACAAATTAAAACATCGGTTTGCATATTTCTATATAATTTTTCTTTTTTGTGTGTATTAGTACATTTTTTACTTAAATCTATTTATCTTTGTGGCGTAAAAATATGAAGAATTTCAATTTGAAGTGGTTAAAAAATAATAGCTCATCATTTTGGTGTTTGCTGCTCCATATAGACAATTTCCAAGATTTTGTTACGTTGTGCTTGTTTTGAAGGATCCATGATGTATCTGTCCAATAAGAAGGCACCTGGCAGTCATTATCTTCCAGTTTATTTCATTTTTAAGTCATAAATCCAATTTGAATCATGATTCAAAAAGCAATTCGAAGCGAATTCTTGATTGCCATTTTTTTTAAGGTTCAGATAATTTGAACCCGGTTAATACTAATAAAATATATTTTTTTATATTAGACTGGAACAGACAACAATTAGAGAAATAATTTACTGGAAATTGAATAGGAATCCTTTTTGTTAATTTGTAGATTTTGACCAGCGCAAAGTAATGCGAAAAAAAAAATGTATTCGAAGTTTCAAGGGCTCTTGCAAGTTTTTAACAGCTTCAATCAAAGTTTTAAAAAATGAAAAAAAGGAAGATTATTTAATTTTAAAGAGCCCCTGCAGTACTCGGGGCCCTAATCTGCAGCCTAACTTGTACGCGTATCCGGCCTTAAAGTAAACGCGTTTAACTTTTTCGTTATGTATGAGTGCCTACGTATATCCGGCGCCAGCGTGATATAGCTTGTTAACCGCTTCAATCTGCATCAAACTGTCTCTGGCTAATATATTCCATTTTCCTATTTTAGATTGATACCACTAAAAGTATATTTTAAATTCGCCTAACATGTTTTGTAAATCGAAACAAGTTTCATCTGTGTCCAATATTTAGGAGTTAAGAAAAATGTAACAAGAAATCTTAACAAGCAATTTGTACATTTCGTGGCATGGTGCACAGTTCATTGGCGTCATTTCAGCAAACCTGACTGCAGTAACGAAGAAGTTAAAAGGGTAGGATAAAAAATGGCACGATCTCGTGTGTAAGATACAGGCAGGAGATTGAAAGGGGAAGAAACTTAAACATTATTATTTAGACACTCGAGGTATTGTTTCCAATATATTTTTATCACGCTGAACCAAATAGTGTTAAAAAATAAAACTAGTTCAAATGTTATGAAAGTATGGGCAAATGTATTAATTTCGTCTTCTTGGATTAGCAACTTGGATTTGGTCTCCCGGATTTAGAATAAAAAAATATGTATGTAATGATATCTCTCTTGCCCAGATAGCACTGTCAGCAGTAAATAAAGGAGAATAGTAAATATAGAAGAATAGTAAATATAGAATAGTCAATAGGTAAAAGTAAAAAACTGAGCTTTTTATATAAACAATTCTAATAATAATAATTTCAGTCTTATCGACTTGATTTCAATATTTTTCGATTATGCGTAAAAAATGTGCAGGAAACAATGTTTCCCTTCCCAAGATATCAACTAGGTAACGATATCAGACATTTAAAAATGCATAATTTAAAAATTAAACTTTGTGCATTTTAAATCTTTACAGTATCTAAGCCATCCGTTTTAATCTATTTGTAATTGGATTAATCCAATTAAGGAAAAATTATATTGGAAACACCACATCATTTGCCTAGATATCAATGTTTAAGCTTCTCTTTTCCATGGCATATCTCGACTCGTTAGGCCGAGCAACTATTTGTTACTTACTAGAAGAAGGGCACTAAAGCAGTTGGCGCTGGCCTGGTAGGGTTGAATTTTTTTTCTGGATGTTTGTATAAAAACATACTCTTATTTTTCTAATGGAGAAGTATGCGATGTGCGAAATCTATCAAGTGAAGGACAATTCTTAATTCATCATAAAAATAATGTCTCTTCACAAAAATTGAGAATCGGGTTACCTACCTTAGTAATACATGAAAAAATAATTAAAATCTTTAATCAAAATAGTTAAATCAAAAGTAAAGTGAATGAATTTTCTGATTCACTTATTTTTTAGGTATCTAATGTGTATTTTAGTTTCATTTCTAAATTTGCATGCATAATATATATATTTCAGCTGAAAATGACGCCGGTAATGACACGTGTGAGACATGTACTCCTTGTCAATCTTGTCCTGCTTGTTCAACTCAACAACAAGACCTTTTAAATGGATCACTTGAAGTAAATTTTTGCGAATCTCACTGCTACAGACAGAAAAGAATACCTCCCCCAGATGCATCTTCTGCACAGTCTGAACAATCTGATTCTGAGACTTCCGATTCTGAAAAATCTGCTTCTGAGGTTTCCGATTCTGAAGCTTCCGCTTCCGAAGCTTCCGCTTCTGAGGTTTCCGATTCTGAAGCTTCTGCTTCTGAGGTATCCGATTCTGAAGCTTCTGCGTCTGAGGTATCCGATTCTGAAGCTTCCGCTTCTGAGGTTTCCGATTCTGAAGCATCCGCTTCTCACTCAAGGGAATGTGAGACTTCTGGAGATTGTACTCCCGAAAAGCCAGCTCCTGGTACCATATGTCCACCACCAAAGTTAGTCCATTGCTCCCATTGTTTCGACAATTATAAGTGCCCAAAGTGTAAGCCGTGCATATGCAAAACACATCCAGATCCGAACCATTGCCCTAAATGCCCTAAAAAGAAATGCAAGCCAAAGGTATGTAAAATATGCTACAATTTTAAAATAGAATTTTTATTTTTTAAAATTTGAAAACCAGTGCTATACAAGTTGACTGTACTTTTCAAGATTCTAATTGAATTGGAAATTTGAGTTAAGAAATCAATAAAAAATGTATATGTATTTATACGTATACTTATACGTATACAGTATATGTATTTATACATATAAAGTAGAGCGCCGATAATCCGGATCGATTGGGACCAAAAATGATCCGGATAACAAAAAATACGGATATTTTGACAAATCTTCAAAAAAGGTTCTATGAAAGTTTTTAAGTTACTACCCTTTACACTTTTTCTAGGGTAAGGATTGGCAATTGTAGTAGTGTAGCATATTACAAATGGCGTAATGAAGAGTTTTAATTTTTTCTTTCTAATTGTATTTCAAACTTGTTCCCTTATTCGAAACTATTTAAAACCCACATTGAACTAGGCGGAGCGAACGTGATGCTCTTTTCAAGGTCCCTAAAGGATAGAACAAGTCATTTTTCGACCCATTTTAGTTATTTTGGAAATAAAGAAGCTTTTCAGCAAAAAACAATTTTTAGAAGGTGGGAAAAAAGACATGGTCCTTCAACAATCCGGATTATTGAGCAATCCGGTAAATCGGTTTTCAGATAATCGGCGCACTACTATAAATAATTATTTACACATAAAGTTGGTATTTATGTATATAAATAAGTATTTATATTTATAGACTCCGTTCTTTTTCGTATTGGATGGTTACAAGGAGTTCTTCAACCAAATGTGATATTACACTTGAAACCACTTAACCATAACCATCAAATTAAAAAGGTTCATCGAAACTAGTTCACATAAATTCAACCAATTATTTTCACACCTACAGCTTACAGCTTGCAGCTCTCTCTAACCACGAGAGTTGTTTTCGCAGTTACTTCCTCATTGCATTGCAATTCGAATTCGCTTCGCCGACTCATTGGATATTTATATATTTTGGTTTAGCTTCGTATATACACTGATACTACTAATTGTGCGACGCACGAAAGCTCATTTGCCACATTAGATAAGAGAGACATTGACAAATGTGCTCTTCCATCCACGACTGCAACCATTCAATTTGATGTTTAAATAAAAATTAGTGGGCTCCACCCCTGTTTGCTGAAGCTCCTCAATCTCTAAAGATTGATATGCAAACTTACATGGTTTACTTTGCAAACAGTGCTCAGTTTGTTCGCTAAACAAACTGAAATTCTTTTGGAATATGTTCCGTCTTAAAATCTTAAGAATTTAAATCAATTATTAGCATCTTTAAATCTAATTCCTCTTCAAAAAATTAAAATTTTTCGTCAATAATAAGTTATTAAGATAAAATTTTTTAAATTAAAGTAAATGACAAGCAATAGAAAAAACTGACAGAAAAAAATTATACTTAACGAAATAAAAACAATTACTATTAAAGAGTTCTGCGAGCTGGGGAGAGCTGAAAGTAGAAGGTGGAGTTTCCTTTCTTCTTCAGTGACTCGATAGCCCTGGGTGGGCCCTGGCTTTCTTCAGAAGTTTTTTTTGCAGGCTACTCTACATTTGGTGACTTCTCTGCTGTTTTTAACCACAGGAATTATTAGGTCATTATCAACACAGTCGATACATCCACCATCCTAGCTGCATTGATCGCTGCTTGCTTACAGCAGTGATCTTCCTAAGCTTTCTTGCTTGACGGTCAAGACATTTTGCTGGATTTTGATGAGTTACATAATAATAAATTCGTTTAAAACAGCGTTTCTCAACCTTTCAGTATTCGAGGCCCAGTTTTCAATCATAATTTTCATCGCGCCCCCCACTTACAGTAAAATGTATACAACAATAATGTATATTGAGTATTTTTAATTCAGTCTTTAAATTATTTTTAACTAACTACCAAAACAAAAGTAAAGTAAAAATCAGCAGCAATTGAGATTGTAGAAACTATGTTTGGAGTTAATTTTTCAAAACAATTACAGTCCATACCTCTTTCAAATGATACTGTTGCTCGTCGAATTGGTGATACAGCTGAAAATGTAGTGTCAGCTTTTCTCGATGTTGCGTGNCGATTAATCGGTACTTCGAAATCATGAACATATCTGAAACACGTATACCGATATTAATAGAGAGCTTAGTAGAAGAACCAGGTAAGTTACATTTTTAGGAGTATTTATGAATCTCCCAGTGAAAATAGGAAAGTGGTTGAAAACCTCATCATCCTGGCGCGCCTGCTCCAAGACATTATGCTCAGCATCATCCTTATCCTCCGCATTATCCGCATCCTTATCCTCCGCATCATCACCATGGATAACCGTTTTTTTTGTTCTACAAAGCCAATAGAAATTCGAATTTCCAATAGAAATTCGAGTGATTAAATAACAAAAGATATTCATTGCATACTTTTTGATTAATAATAAAGATGATTTTTTCTTGAATTTGGGCTATTGTTGTTATACAAATAGGGCGAGTTTTTAAATTTTTTTTTTAAAATTCTGAAAATTCTCTAATCATCAACTAAAGAGTGTAACAAGTTGAATATAAATTTACAAGTAATATTTAAACAAAAGCATATTTGTTAATTTTTGAAATAATTTGATACATATTTGAGAAAATCGTTGCAAAAATACGTATTAAGGGCTTTTAATACGAAACGCATTAGATCAATGAGAAAAATTTAGTGTGTTTTTTGCATTGAAGCACATCTGATAAATACAGCACAAGTAATTCAATAAATCTTGATACCGTTTTTGCGTCTTTTTCGCTTAAATATCTTAAAATATTTATTGTATTTCATTTTTTGGCAAGGATTCTAACATTCCAAAAATGCATAAAGGGTTCGATTTTGGCACACTTTCTGTTAGTAAAAAAGATACAGACCTTTTCACAGGGGGCAAGTACACTGAATTTAAATGGCAATTTTCAAAAAAGAGACACGTTTTCAAGAGCATAGCAAAAGAAAAAAAAACAGAGTGCATTTTAAGTTTTATCCCTTTGCTCAAATATTTGACACTTTAAATGTAGCCTAATGCTGTTTCTTTTGTACTTAGTTTTTTACTGTATAGTTTTCAACTTATTAATTGACAAAGACTGTCTTTCGACATAACACCATGAAAGTATAATTTAAAAACTTAATTAATAAAACAGCTAATGCAGTTTTTTAAACGAAACATCATAAGGAAAGAAAAGAAAACGGAGAACAAATATTGTAGAGGGAAGAAGAAAGATAAAAATTATGAAAAATATTAAAAATTAAACAAAAAATTAAAAATCCTAAGGTGCTTTTAACTTCTCTAAGGTGCATTAGATGTTTTTCGATAGATGAGGAAGCGATCAAAATGTTATCTACATATATAAAGCAGTAATCTAAACTTTCCAAAACTCTGTCTAGAATTAGCATAGTTTGCGCAGCATTCCTTAAACAAAAAGTCATGTAACATGTAACTGAATTCGGATAAACCAAAAGGCGTTATTATTGCAGTTTTAGAGATGCTTTCTTTATTGATAGGCATAGATGGAAAGCATAATTAAAATTTAAGGTAGAAACGATTTGTAATTAAGTTAGCTGAAAAGTCTTGTATATGTGTTAAAGAGTTATTATCAAGAACCGACTTGGCATTAAGGGCGCGATAGTCGTCGCTTAATCGCCATGAACCATATGATTTCTTAACCATGTGCAATGGAGATTCCTTAATCTGGAGATCATCGTTTGGTTTCGTCAGCAACAGGAGATTAGTTTCTATTACGTGTGCAACGGTAGGAGAATCATCATTTTTTATTGTAAAATTTAAGAACGTCTTCGAATAAAGATTTTTAATCCATAACTAATTCGTTAAATTCCAATATGGGGGGAGACCAGTAATTTTTGGCAATGATTTTTGAAAAATTTTACCAATAGCAGCAGGGATGCGACAGGTGACTATAAATGCAAAAAGTGGTAGAAATTCAATTAATTTTTGTTTATTTATTATCTCGTTAATTATTCTATCGTAGCTACCATTATGATGATTTAAATTTCAAGTTATTCATATTTAAAGGAAAAACATTCTTTGTATAATATTCAACTGTATATTATTCACTTTCAATAGTAAACTAAAAGAAATATGATAGAAAAAATTGCTAATTTTATTATCTTTCAATAAAATAACCACTTTTTCATTTTTAGTCGCCTATGGCAACATTGCGTCAGCTAAACAGTCTACTAGTCTCTTTGCTTTCTAATAATGTATTTTATAGTAATGATGTAGAAAATTTGCATCCAAAATTGGTCGAGAAACATCAACAATTGTAAACGTCCATGGAAAAATACGGTGTAAGCCTATATTCAATAGTCGTTTTCCAAATACGTCAAGTTTTGAGCCTTTAACAGCTAATAAATTCGAAAAAAATGTTGTAGGTTTCTTGCGTGTCGAAAAAGTAGGAGGTATAACATTTAAATCTGTGCCTGAGTAAACAAGTAATTTCAATCCTAAGGACTTTTCATAAATAACAAGGCGACAGTTATTACGGCCTTCAGCGCTCTTTGCCGCACACACTTGGTCGAAGAGTTTCCCTGTAAAGATTTATATTTGATGCGTTTTGTAAATTTATGGCTAAATTTTTAATGATACTACCAAAACTTAGTTTTATCATTTGTTGAACGGTTTATTACATTTTATCGTTTTCGCTAAAATAATCTATTAAGAGTATGCATAAGATGCCTAACCTATCTGAAGTTAACGCTGTTTAGGCTTATTCTGAAAATGGCGCAAACGTCAATCTGAGGAAAAGCGACAGTTTTGTGGAAATGAAAAGCGTTTGTGGTCTAATTTTTTAATATTTAAAAGCGTATACCAATGCTGCATTATCTGGGGCTCATAAAAATAGGTGAAAACGTAGAATAAGGCAGTGATTTCTGAAATTTTTTTCTAAGTAGAAAAATATCACCAAATTCCCGATTTTTGTAAGAGTCTAATAATTTTTAAAGTATTTAAGTTATTCGTTTGACTTTAAAGCCTAAATAATTCTTCACAGCAAAATGATATATATAGTTTAAAATTCTTGTTTTGCTTCAAGTGTAAGGCAGTTAAACTGTCGTTTTTTTATTTTCCTTGGAGAAAGAGCTTCGAAAAATCAGGCTATAGAAGAGGAAATTTTTTTATTTTCACCTTCTATAACCATCATTTAAAGAGAAGAAATACCTTTTCAAAACATCTGGGGTAACCAGTTTGCCCCACTGGTGATGAAATAATGGAATGATGAAATAATGGAATAAATAAAAACTATGTACAATTTATTTACAAAGATAGTAATAAGATGATACTTAAAAGACACGCTGCGTAACTACCACTATAAATATTGAATACCAATTCACTAGTATATAAGACATGTTAACTTGATTCTATCTTGAGGTACCTTTTGATAGATGAAGGTTGACATAGTCATTAATTAATTCCCTTAGTATATTAATACCAAGCCTACTTAGAATGATATACTTATTTTATACTAGCTAAATACCAGATTTTCGTACTGGGTGAATTACAAAAAATCGATTAATCGGTACTTCGAAATCATGAACATATCTGAAACACGTATACCGATATTAATAGAGAGCTTAGTAGAAGAACCAGGTAAGTTACATTTTTAGGAGTATTTATGAATCTCCCAGTGAAAATAGGAAAGTGGTTGACTCAATATGGGTGCGTTAAACGTAACGGAATTGTTTTTGCTTTCAGTTTGATCTCAGCATAACTAATTCAAACTAGTGTTTAGTGTGGTTGAATTATTTTTATTTTTCAAATTAAGCAGTCGTAGATAAAATTATTATTCCCACCTTCTAATAGATTGGTAATAAAATTGTTAGGTGATCATTTTCCCCCCTGCTTACTCTGATTATACCCTCTCTGAAAATATCACTAATCTGGTTTCTCTCTTAGCTCAATCTGGAACAATTTAATTAATTAATCAATCAATTATTTTTTGTTGCCTTCTCAATGGCTTTACGCTATCATAATAAGAAAAACATGTTTTTTTGTAGTTAATTCCATCAAAATAGAGATTAACTGAACTTAGCATTACTTGCCGTGATGATATTGCTCCCGGCTAACTCAATGATAGTCAAAATTTATCAACATCAAGTAATTTTCTCCTGTACATATCCCTTTCAAGAGTCAGTAACATACTTATTACCTCAGTATCGAAATTGAGACTGCTTTTTTAACACTATTAATTAATATTTGGTAATGATTAAAACTCCACTGCTGCTTAGTTTTAATAATGTAGGCTAAAATTGCTCCATGTTCAAATTTTAAGGGATAGCACAAATGGTTCTAAACTCGTATGAGAGAGGCACACACAAAGAGAAGCTTTTCATTTTATTATTTAGTGGAATAGAATGGTCGAATTTCAGGAATGGAATGTAAATCCTTTCATGAAAGACATTTGCTTTGAGAGTGGAACTTAAATTAAAAAAAACACAAAGCAAATCAAGATATCATACAAGGGGCATCCAGAAAGTAAGTTTCCCTATTTTTTTTAAGAAAAGAACTCACACTTTCAGGAACATATTTATTGACAACAAGTACAGCAATGTTTCAGCTATTTTTCAACATAGCCATCACCAGAATTGAGACACTTGCCGTATCGTGGGATCAAATTTTGTATCCGCCTGTCGTAGAACTCTGCCGCCTGTGAATGGAACCAGCGCGTGCCGAAAAACCTGACATCCGAACACAAAATTCAACGCTTAGGACGCTGTCGGTACGGAAAGTGATGTGCACGGTGTTCTGGGACAGTAAGGCCATTTTGCTCATTGACTTCCATCCACGTGGTGAAACAGTAAACACTGACCGTTACTGTGAAACACTACGGAAATTGCGACGTGCCATTCCGAATAAGAGGCGTGGAATGCTTACTGCAGGTGCTGTGCTCCTCCATGACAATGATCTTGCTCCCAGCGATTTTCCCGTTTTCTTACACCTCAAGAGATTCCTGTCCTCCGGTGAGCGTTTTGGCAAGGACGAAGAGCTGAAGACGTTTGTAACACGCTGGTTCCATTCACAGGCGGCAGAGTTCTACGACAGAGGGATAAAAAAGTTGATCCCACGATACGACATGTGTCTCAATTCAGGTGGTGGATATGTTGAAAAATAGCTGAAACATTGCTGTACTTGTTGCCAATAAATATCTTCCTGAAAGTGTGAGTTCTTATTTTTAAAAAAATAGGGAAACTTACTTTCTGGATGCGCCTCGTACATTTAAAGCAAGAGACCAAGAATTTTTATCCGGGGTGGACATTCCTTGATACCATCGCTTTTTCAGTCTCTTATTTTGACTTCTGTTTATTAAACAAGAAATATATAAGAAATTTATCAGGTTTTATCTTCATTACAAAGCAAAGTGCATGATATTTTCATTGCATGATAGTAATCACTTTTTGAGGTTGGCGGCTTTTACTACTTAAGCTTTTACAAGTATTTTTATCGCTGTGCAGCTTATTTACAATTAAATAAAGATGATATAATTTTTAATTACACTTTTTCACTGAACTTCAATTGTATAACTAAATATTTCGAGCTTTTTGATAAAACACATGGCTGAAACCCTATAAAAGATATAAGAGATACATTTTATCCTTTGATATTACGATTACTAATAAATTTTTTGAGCAGTATGTTTTTTTAAAATTTAAGTCCTTTGGCACTCCATCACCCGCTAGCACAAGTCAGAAATTGAATTTTAACAGATGATTTTAATTTCCTTATCTTGAGAGCATGTTGTGGAATATTATCGTACCTGTAAACATCGAGTATAATTATGGACTAAAGTTTTGTAATTGTTAATCGATAAAATAAATTCCCTTAAATTTAGTAGATGTTTTAAATTGAAAAGTGTCTTAAATAATCCGAATGAAANAGTACAGCAATGTTTCAGCTATTTTTCAACATAGCCACCACCGGTATTGAGACACTTGTAGTATCGTGGGATCAACTTTTGTATCCGTCTGTCGTAGAACTCTGCCGCCTGTGAATGGAACCAGCGCCTGCCGAAAAACCTTACTCCGGAACACAAAATTCAACGCTTAGGACGCTGTCGGCACAGAAAGTGATGTGCACGGTGTTCTGGGACAGGAAGGGCATTCTGCTCATTGACTTCCATCCACGTGGTGAAACAATAAACGCTGACCGTTACTGCGAAACACTGCGGAAATTGCGACGTGCAATTCAAAACAAGAGGCGTGGAATGCTTACTGCATGCGTTGTGTTCCTCCATAACAATGATCTTGCTCCCAGCGATTTTCACGTTTTCTTACACCTCAAGAAATTCCTGTCCTCCGGTGTGCGTTTTGGCAACGACGAAGAGCTGAAGCCGTCTGTCACACACCGGTTCCATTCACAGGCGACAGAGTTCTACGACAGGGGGTTACAAAAGTTGATCACACGATACGACAAGTGTCTCAATTCAGGTGGTGGATATGTTGAAAAATAGCTGAAACATTGCTGTACTTGTTGCCAATAAATATGTTCCTGAAAGTGGGAGTTCTTATTTTTAAAAAAATAGGGAAACTTACTTTCTGGATGCGCCTTGTACATTTAAAGCAAGAGATCAAGAATTTTTATCCGGGGTTGACATTCCTTGATATCATCGCTTTTTCAGTTTCTTATTTTGACATCTGCTTATTAAACAAGAAATATATAAGAAATTTATCAGGTTTTATCTTCATAACAAAGCAAAGTGCATGATATTTTCATTGCATGATAGTAATCACTTTTTGAGGTTGTGGGCTTTTACTACTTAAGCTTTTACTAGGATTTTTATCAATGTGCAGCTTATTTACAATCAAATAAAGATGATACAATTTTTTATTTACACTTTTTCACTGACTCTAACTAAATATCTCGAGCTTTTCAATAAAAAACATGGCTGAAACCCTATAAAAAATATAAGAGATACATTTTATCTTTTGATATTACTATCACTAATAAATGTTTTGAGCAGTATATGTATTTTTATTTAAATCTTTTGACTCTCCATCACCCGCTAACACAAGTCAGAAATTGAATTTTAACAGATGGTTTTAATTACGCTATCTTAAGAGGTAATTTAAATTACCAGGCTTAATTTTTTCAGTTTAAAACATGCACGTAGTAGAATATTATCGTACCTGTAAACATCGAGTATAATGATGGACTGAAGTTTTGTAATTGTTAATCGATAAAATAAATTCCCTTAAATTTAGTAGATGTTTTAAATTGAAAAGTGTCTTAAATAATCCGAATCAAAATATTCTTCTAAATACCTTGACTTAATCATAATTTTAACAATACTACAATTGAGTATTCTAAGAATTTATTAAATACACTTTATATTATTTATGGCATCGCAAACAATAGGGTTTTTGAGATTCAGAATGGTTTTCTTAGAAATCTCCCAAATACATTTAAAATTAGGAATAATTTTATTTATTTTGTTTTTTTTATTTAATAAGGTGTACTTTTTTGAACTTTGTTCTTTTAACACTTTCTTGTATTGAAACAAAAATTGGGGAGATTTCACTAGCACAGATGTCCGCAATAATCAGTAGTTTGGTCCTCATTTTCTGCGTTTCTTCTCTGGAATTCATAGATAAAGGTAATGCAGTTAAATATGGATTTGATCTATGTTAGAAATTTCAACACAATTGTGTTGAATTGAAAACTAGTTAGATTTTGAGGCTTTAAACATAACATAAATCGGAGAAAAAGAAATCTGAGAAAATTATTGTACCGTAATGTAAAGACAGATCTGGTAAAAGAATCAGAATTCTGGTATTGAAACTTAAATAGGCGGTACTAAGATTTATTCATATAGTAAGAGTTTACCAGAAATTCGGGTTTCCAAAATTATTGTTCTTAATATTAAATTCCAAAATGAATTCCAAAGTTATTTAATAAAAAAACACAAAACTTAAAAGTAAATGTAACCGTATAAATGATTTTTATGTCATGTATCATGATAAAATTACCAAAATTTAACACATATTATGAAACTTCATTGTCCATTTTACCAAAATCATTACCAACGCACTTCGGTAAAAATTACAAGGCTTTGTGATTTTCCCATTGAGCTAAAAACAAGGTAAATTTAATCATATTCTAATAGTTTTGACCATACTTTTTTTCCTCAGTGTGTCTAATACTTTTTCTTTAATAAGTAACTAGTTACATTAATTTAAAATGGAGATTAGCGGCATATTACATGTTTTATATTTTTTCTCTTTCATGTTTTTTTATTTTAAAATTGTTGTTAATGCTTCTCCACAACAAATATGCTACGTTTGTAAGCAACATGTATGTAAGCATGACTTTCAAAATGATACTTAATTGAAAAAAAATCCCTAAGATTTGAAATATGGGCGCGTTTATAAAGGTTTAATCTAGAGATTTTTTAAAAAAAAACTGAAAGAAAAATTACAAATTATCTAAAGTTTAGGATTTATTGATTTATTATTAAGAAATTACTACTATACTAACTTATTTTTACATTCTTTAATATTTTTTTGACATAATTATAATTTTTAGTACATTTAATTTTGTTTTTAAGTATTTACTTAAATTTCTGAAAACAACATTACATGGTAAACTACAATAAGAATCTAATTTAGAAATCATCAAATTTAGAAACTTTTATTAAAACCAAGCATGTTAAGTATCATATAACTCAACTTATCATGTTAGCTAAGCATGTTAAGTTACGTTCAGTTTGTAACACTGCGAATGGAATAACTTTTTAATTCATTTCTAAACATAACTAATATTTTAAAAATTAAAATAATACTGTGAATGGACTAACTTTTTAATTCAATTCCAAACATAACTGACATTTTAAAAATAAGAGTAATACTGTGAATGGACTAACTTTTTAATTCATTTCCAAACATAACTGAAATTTTAAAAGTTTAAATTTGTTCGGAAAAATTGCACTCTAAAAAGCAAAATGTTTACGTGGAAGTTAAAAAAGGACATCGATTGTACAAACTGTTAAAAACTGTTGTACTTGTTTTAGTTTAAAAAGTTCGTTATTCAAAATTAGTTGATTTTTTTCGTCCAATCAGATTTAGTAGGTTTAAAAGTATACTTTTTAAACTTATTAAATGTATTCTAAGTATACTTTTTAAATTTATAAAGCTTATTATAAATAAAAAAAACAGCGATTCGTAATAACTTATAAAAGAAACACTGCTTTCGGATAGCATTTAAATACTTTTACTGATAAGCAATGCACAAAAACGAAATAAAAAAATGCTACTTACTTTATTTTATTTGAAAAGCGAAGTAAACAATAAAACTTATTGAAAATTTATGAAAAAAAGAGATGGTTTCAGTTAGAGAACACTAATACAAGTTGCAGTTGACAAATCTGAAAGACATGAAAAAAAAAGTTTTATTTTCTCTATTTTATATCATAGCAAATGATTACGTTACGCTATTTATACTGTGAGAAAAAAAGTATGGTTAAAACTACCAGGATATGGTAACAATCACCGTCTTTGTGGCTTTTTGGGAACACTAAATGGGAGCTCTAAGAGAACTTTGGTAATGATTTTGACAAAATTAGCATCAAATATGGTTTTATAATATTTGATAAAATGCAAATATTGTAAAATTTGATAATTAAGCGATAACCTTAGAGCATGGTATGAAAACTATTTATTTGGTTAAATTTGTTTTCAAGTTTTCTAATTTTTGCTAAATGTGCTGTAAGGAGAATTATAATTTTGAAAACTAGTTTGCGTATACTGTTACCATATGAACGGAAAAACTATGAAATGAATGTTTTAAATACCGTATATTTTAGGTTTATTGCAAGAATTGCTTTCTTAATCAAAAATGTCATTACCATATTTTACAGAATTTTCTCCATGTATATTTCATTTTTATCTGGCTGAGTTAAAAAAAATTTACGGAAGTTAAATTTGAAGGATTTACGAGTATTTTTCAAAAATGCTTTATTAGGAAATTTATTGCATGAAAATGGATTTATATCTGACGTTTGGGGATTTAACTTGTTACGGAATAATAATATGTTAAAATAATTGCATCTGCACAAACAGAAATTGAAAATAATTGCTCGAAAAATTGATTTATGATTTAGTTTTTGCGATTTAATTTTTTTTTAAAAAGTTCTATGAATTTTGAAAATTATTTTTTTATATTTTAAGTTTTAGAATCGTGGAATAGTTTTCAAAAGAAAACGCTTGCGGTAAAAAAAATTTAAGAGCCACTGGTTTGTTCCATAAGTCAGTTACATTTTTTAAACTTAACTTTATATGCCTGGTTTTAGATATTTTATGGTATAAAGAGTAATTTATTCCAACGACTAGGTAAAGATCGATTTCATAAAATCAAAACATTAAGTGATAAACAGATTTTTCTAGTGTATGCATTCTTTTACCTGCTACAGTTTAAACAGTATTTCAGAAATTTCGTTTTTCTGATAAAAACAATGTTTTAAATTTAAATTGTTAAATTAGTTGCTCAAAGCGTTTTAAAAAAATAAATGATATATTAAAAGTGAATGTAATATATGATAATTAAAAGCTATTTAAGTAGTTCTAGAGTCTCAAATTGCAAGATATCTCCCGAATTTTATCTATTCAAGTCGCATGCTTGTTATTACTTCTTGTGCTTCAGTTTATACACATCGGAAAAAGTTATCAGAGTGAACACTGTCTATTTATGTGAAAAAGAAATTTCTATGATTTTAAAAAAGTTCTGAGTTCTTGCTTTTAAAAAGTATAAAATGTATAATTTTTAGCCGAAAGCTCTTTACTTGGAGAAGAGAAACAATGTTCTTCGTGTCCAACTTGTACACCATGCAGTTCATGCCCTGTGCTATCTTCTCAATCATGTGATAATTGCCAGCCAAGAAGTGAAAACACAATTCCTGTTAAGAATCCTGAACATCGCACTGTTGCGTTTGAAAATGAAGGAGATCGAAGGAGAGGAAAAAGGTTCCTTTTTCCAATTTGGAAACCTTCTCATTCAAATTATCCTAAAAAATGTTCTCCCTGTCCGGTCAAAGAATGTAAGAAATGCAAGAAATGTCCCAGAAAAACAGTAAGTAACGATCATGAGTAAGTAATAAAACACTGGTTTATATTTATCATGAGATTTCGGTATTAGGGATAGAGTGATTATTAGATTGCTGTAGTAAGATTTGCTTATGCCATAATGCCAACATTTAATAAATAACAGAGAAAAAGAGTTGGTTAAGTTCATAAAAAAGAGCAAGTAACGATGAAAACCTGTAAAACTGTAAGTAAACGATCATGTGTAAGGAATAAAATACTGTTTTATATTTATCATACGATTTCGATATTAGAGGGTAGAGCGACTTTTAGATCATTGCAAATGTAAATCATTGATGATAAAAATTACGAAATAACAGAAAAAAAGACTTAGTTAAGTACATAAAAAATTGTAAGTAGCTATAAAAATTGCGAATCTGCAAGTAACGATCATGTGTAAGAATAGAATACTGCTTTATATTTATCGTGCAATCTCGGTATTAGGAATAGAGAGAATTTTAGATTATTGTAAGTGTGAAATAATTAAGAAATAACAGAGAAAAAGACGTACTTAAGAACATAAGAAAATGTAAGTAACTATAAAAACTGTAAATCTGTAAGTAACAACCATATGTAAGTAATAAAATAGTGCTTAAAATTTATCACGTGATCTTGGTATTAGGGTTAGAGTGAATTTTAGATCATTGTAAGAGCAAAATAATTAAGAAATAACCAAGAAAAAGAATATTTTAACAGATAAAAAGCTGTAAGTAACAATAAAAAATTGTAAAACTGCAAGTAAAGCTTGTAGTCACCATAGAGGGCAAAAACCTCTAAATTTTTTTTATTTAAATAAATATTTATTGGGATGTACATGTTAATTGAATAATTTAATTTACATAGAAAATATTCGTAGGCCAATCAGGCTTAATTTTTTATCCATAGATAGTTTTTAAGTTTTGAAATTAAATATTTATTTATTTTGTCTACTTAGAAGCAGTTTTTAAGTTCTGAATAATCAAAAACTCTATTTTTCCCTTGAATATTTCTTCAGTTTTACTTCATTTAAAAGACGAAGAGAATTGTCGGTTAATAAGGTTACTTTAATAGAAAACTTTTTTCCTTTATCAGAAATTTTACTAATTGCATTTTAAAAGACTAAATTTAATGGATGAAATAACAAATGTATATCAAAAATTCTTTTTTTTTGAGTAATGAACACGAAAGTTCCTGCATAATTTTTGGGAAGACTTCCGTATTACGTTCTGTGGCAGAATAATCGCCAAGTCTTGGTAACTTCTGGAGAATAGCTCACAAAAAACTATTAAAGAAGAAGAAAAAAAAATATCACAGAATAGGATTAACTAAAAAAAAAAATAACTCGTAACCATACCTGTGCAAATTTCCACATGTTTTATTTACTTAAAAAAAAAAACTAAAAGTTTTAATTCCCTTAGGAGCTTTAGCGGTTGTAGTTGGACGGATATATCCCTTAATTCTGCATCTTAGAAGTGCTCTTGTGCATGAGTAATGTATTACTTAAATTCGAAATCTAACAGAAAATTGTTTGAAATAAATTTTGTATAAGTATCTAAAATGTGATTTTACTAATTGTATAATTTATCGAANAAAAAAAAAAAAAAAAAACTAACTGTATAAAAAATCAGCTTGATTTGCAAGTAGCACTTCAGGTATATTTCTTGTGAGCTTTTTTATAAAAACATTAATAGTATTTTTTATTTTCTTGCTTAGAAATGCAAAAAATGTAAATGTAAATGTAGATGCAAACACCGTTATCACCATCATACCCATGGGGATCCCTCACCATATCTAATGCGTAAGTTGTTAATTTTTTGTTTTTAAAATTTTGTAAGCAAATGATTTTGTATGTAGTAGTTCATCATGTTTTTAAAGAACTCATGTTTTTAAGTTTTGCTTCGTAAATATTTTATATGTTTTATGTTCATGAAACATATAAAATATTTCCCAGTTTATTTAACATAGTTATTCAGATTGATGTTAAAAGAATGTAAAAAAATATTAGAATTGCTTTGTCCAACTGGCTTTATTCTACGTATCAAAATTGTTTCTGAGTTTAACTAACATAATTATTAATTTTGATGTTAATTTAAAAAAAAACTTAATTAAGAATTAATATTGTAAAGTTTTGTTCCATGAGCTTGAGCTTGACTTAACATAACAAATATTTCCAAGTTAAATTAGCAAAGTTATTCAGTTTAATGCTAGTTTTAAAAATTTTGATGTTAGAATGGGATACCTGTAAGTGACGTAATGTGGTTATCTCGATCTTGATTGATCGTTGAAACCTGACATTTGTTTGCGTTAGCAACTTTTATTTCCATTCTATTTCAAGCAAGCCAAACCCGTCAAGTATCAATTCTCTTAAGTGACACATTCTATATTCTTACGCAAAGATTCTTTCACAAAGATTTAAATTTTCTCACTACATTTTTACACATAGACTTAACACAGAGATAGGCACAAAGTCACGTGGAACATAAACAAACTAATTATGCATCAAAATTGCCAGATACACAAAACAAAATAAATATCACGGTTACAATAAAATACATAAACAGATAATAAATCTTAGTTAAATAAAAGAAGTAGAGGAGAAAGAATTATATTTTAACTAATTCGATGTGCGATACGGCTCTGGATCGCACATTGGATCAAACTAGCTTTTTGATTGAACTAACCCGCATTTGCGTCGTATTGAAAGGAAAATTAGATAACCTACCACGATTAACCCGATGGCAAGTGTATTCTAATCCAAGATCTGTTTACCATTGAGGATATTTAACTTTAATATTGTGGTCAGTGTGAGTCTGGTGCAGAGTTTGTATGAACCAGTCACCCCTGGGATTCGTACCTAGGTCACTCCAGAGGCCATCGTAGTTTAATCGAGAATTTCGTCCCGATCATTCACACGTATTTGTAGGTCACTGGATATATCAGAAAAAAAAAGATCGTAAGTTCTTTATTTTGCTGTACACGCTTGACATTGCAGAAAATATACATCACAGCGTATCAGCCAATCAACCCATTCTCGAAATAGAATCGTCTCAATAATGGTAGATTTTGCTTTTGAAAACTAGCAGTACTTGTGAAGGTGTTTACTTTTATTTTCTCTTTTTTTAAAATTTTTTTCCGATAATTTTAAATAATACATCATGTAGCTGCTTTGGCGCTATTATTATTTTACTTTAAATTTATATTTGTGTAGCACTTTTCTCCATTTTCTTTTGCTATTTATTTTATCATATTCATACAAATTTATTTTATTTTATTAGAAGTATAAATAGGGAAAAAATCTAAATGAGAAAATGAATGGTAATCTGATGTACCTGAAGTACACTTGCTTCTGAATATCAGCAACAGGGTAGATCATAGCCATCCTCATGAATATTTGTTTTCCTTCGAGCCCATATATTTTAAATGTGAATGATTTTGAAATCAGAGATGTTTATTGTATAATTTTTGATATATAATAAACTTGCTATGTTTTGGAAAGCGTATTATTATTATTATGTGAGTGATTTTTGCTGTTAATAAGTTTTTTGAAATTTTCTATTCATCTACCGAAGAACAAAATCAGTTTAACACAAACTTCACTAGTAACATTTTAGGTATATATGAAAACTTTGAAATAATTCGATAGATGATTTGGAAAAACCATCTTTAAGGAATAGATTTAAACTTATGCAGGGTGCCCAAATATAACGGTCTTAATATAGATTTAAAAAATCCTTGTGAAAAATGAAGTGAAAATATAAATGTAAGCGTGGAATTTAATGATCAAATTAGTAGATATATATTCAAGAAAAACACATAGCTATCGAAATATAAGTTATCGAAGTAAATATCACCGTCAGTTGTAATTAAACTTAAATATGCTTCTTTTTATTCGTTCAAACGGTATTTCAACTTCAAATTTTAAATTTATAAAATTCTAATACTAAAACATTATAACACACATTAATAATAATTAATTGCTCATATCTTTCCAGATCACAAAATTTAAACTCTCAAACTTTACATAATTATCCTTTATTAAATGAAAATATCATAAAAGTTGATAAAAAAAATCAGAATTTATCGGTTATTGGTACTAAGAAGGCAAGCTCGTCAACAAATGATTTGTAAAGGTCACCGGCTACTGATATTATACATCGGTGTATCGGAAATCGTAAGTGCTATACAACGCGTGAATTATTGAACACAATATTATTGTAAGTGTTGCTACATTTTATTTAGGTAGCAAAAATATTGATACCAATGTAGAAATCAGATTAATAAAAAAAATATCGTGATATTCGACAATGCATCACGATATTAAAAATTTTACTCATTAGTCATGGGTGTCAAAGCTTGCGAAGGTGATAACTCGAAAAAGCATTCGCCAACACATCAACAAGCAACGCCAACAAGTTAAAGATGGGAGTTCGGGCGACAACAGCGAATAGAGACGTACAAAGCGCAATAATAATAATGATAAAAAAGAAATAAGTAAAAAAAAAGGACTTTCCTTCATAACTTTTGTTCTCTAATGATCAGATTTTCACGTTCTAGGACTCAATTTTAATAGTTCAAGGGGGGGGGGACCCCAAATAACTTTTGGTCTAATTATCAGATCTTCATATTCTAGGACTCATCCTTAATGTTTCGAGGGGGTGACTTCAAATATACTAATTAATTAGTGCAGACAATATTCTAAGTTACGAAATAGGACACAAAAACGTACTTTCTTAGAACAAACATACAATGTTCTCAACAGATTAGGATTTCTGACCCCAAATTATAAGTATCAAAGCTTAACCCCGTCCCGCCCACGTTAGGGGGGCATCCGGAGAATACTGTAGTTTACTGCATAAGTTTTTACGAGGATTTTCATCGCTGTGCAGCATATTTATAATCAAACTAAGATGATATAATTTCTTATTTGCACTTTTTAACTGAACTTCAATTGTATAACTAATTATCTCGAGTTTTTTAATAAAAATCGTGGCTGAAAACCTATAAAAGACATAAAAAATACTCTTTATTTTTTGATATTACTACCACTAATAAATGTTTTGAGCAGTATAAGTTTTTTTATTTAAATCTTTTGACACTCCATCACCCGCTAACACAAGTCAGAAATTGAATTTTAACAGATGGTTTTAATTACGCTATCTTAAGAGGTAATTTAAATTTCCAGGCTTAATTTTTTCAGTTTAAAACATGCACGTAGTAGAATACTATCGTACCAGTAAACATCGAGTATAATTATGGACTGAAGTTTCGTAATTGTTAATCGATAAAATAAATTCCCTTAAATTTAGTAGATGTTTTAAATTGAAAAGTGTCTTAAATAATCCGAATGAAAGTATTCTTCTGAATACTTTGACTTAATTATACTTTTAACAATACTACAATTGAGTATTCTAAGAATTTGCTAAATGCATTTCATACATGGTAACTCAAACAATGGAGCTTTTGAGATTCAGCATGGTTTTCTCAGAAATCTACCAAATACGTTTAAAAGTAGGATTAATTTTATTTATTTTGTTTTTTTATTTAATAAGGTGTACTTTTTTGAGCTTTTTTCTTTTATCACTTTCTTGTATTGTAACAGAAATTGGGGAAATTTCACTAGCATAGATGTCCGCTATAATCAGCATTCTGGTACTCATTTTCTGCGCTTCTTCTTTGGAATTCATAGATAAAGGTAATCTAGTTAAATATGAGTTTGATCTATTTTAGAAATTTTAACACAATTGTGTCGAATTGAAAACTAGTTAGATTTTGATGCTTTAAGCATAACATAAATCGGAGGAAAAAAGTTTGGTGAAATTACTGTACCGTATTGTAAAGACACATCTGGTAAAAGAATCATAATTCTGATATTGAAACTTAAATAGTCTTTAGTAAAAACTAGTAGACTTTTTGGTTTTGCCGTAGAGCCAGAAACAAGGTAAATTTAATCATATTCTAGTAGTTATGACCATACTTTTTTTCCTCAGTGTGTCTAAAACTTTTCCTTTTATAAGTAACTAGTTACGTTAATTAAAAATGAAGAACATGCAAGGATCATGTATGTAAGCATGGTTTACAAAATGATAGTTAACTGAAAAAAATGCCTAAGATTTGAAATATGGACATGATATATGGTGTTTACGAAGGTTTAATTTAGATTTAAAAAAAAAATTAAAAACATTACAAATTCTCTAAAGCTTAGCATTTATTTATTTATTATTAAAAATTTTCTATTATACCGTCTTATTTTTACATTCTTTAATACTTTTTTGACATAATTATAACTTTTATTACATTTAACTTTTTTTTACTTCTTTATTTAAATTTTGAAACTAGCATCATTTGGTAAACTACAATAAGAATATAATTTAGAAATCAAAAAATTTAGAAACTTTTATTAAAACCCAGCATGTTGAGTATCATGTGACTCAACGTACAATCAGTAATACTGTGAATACATAATGTTTGGAAATGAATTTTTAACTCATTTCCAAACATAACTGACATTTTAAAAATTAAAGTAATAAAGTGAATGGACTAACTTTTTAATTCATTTCCAAACATGATTGAAATTTTAAAAGTTTAAATTTGTTCTGAAAAATTGCATTCTAAAAAGCAAAATGTTTACGTGGAAGTTAAGAGAAGAGATCGATAGGTCTGACTTTCTCGTTTGAGTTAAAAAAAAATCGTTTTTTAAAATTAATTGATTTTTTTTTCGTCTAATCATATTTAGTAGGTTTAAAAGTATACTTTTCAAGCTTATTAAATGTACTTCGGCGACAAAAAGTAAAAAAACAAACAGCGGTTCGTATTACTTTATAAAGGAAACACTGTTTTCGGATAGTGTTAAATATTTTTACTAATAATCAATATACAAAAAAGAAATAAGAAAATGCTACTTACTTTTTTTAAAATTGAAAACCGTAGTAACTTATTGAAAATTTACGAAAAAAAAGTAGTTTCAGTTAGAGAACTCAAGTTGACAAACACGAAAAGCAACATAATAAAATGTTATTTTTTAATGTTTTATATCATAGCAAATGATTACGTTACGCTATTTATACACTGAGAAAAAAAAGTATGGTTAAAACTACCAGAATATGGTAAAATTCACAGTGTTTGTGGCTTTATGGGAACACTAAATGGGAGCTCTATGAGAACTTTAGTAATGATTTTGAGAAAATTAACAATAAACTAGGAGGCTTCGCCCCCTGCTCGCTGGCGCTCACCAACCCCCGGANCATTTTTCTTTTTTAAATTTAATAAGCCACATTAAAGAAGGAACGTTGCAATGCTACACGCTACATTAACGACGTCTCCAGAGTAACTGAATGACGGTTCATATGGAAATCGCAGGTAAGCGTCTCATACAACAACGCCCCCTATAGTTCGTTGCGATCGCGAATTGTAAAATTTGGTAATTTTATTATGTGATAACCTTAGAGCATGGTATGAAAACCATTTATTTGGTTAAATTTATTCTCAAGTTTTGTATTTTTTGCTAAATGTGCTGTAATGAGAATTATAATTTTGAAAACGAGTTTGCGGTATACTGTTACCATATGGATGGTGAAACTATTAAATGAATGGTTTAAATGCCTTATATTTTAGGTTTATTGCAAGAATTTTTTTCTTAATCAAAAATGTCATTACCAAACTGTGCAGAATTGCTTCCTCCATGTATATTTCATTTTTATCTTGTTGAATTAAAAATTTTTTTTTTACGGAAGATAAATTTGAAGAATATATTTTTCAAAAATGCTTTATTTGGAAATTTATTGCATAAAAATGATTTATAGCAGATGTTTGAGATTTAACTTGTTACAGAATAAAAATATGCTAAAATAATTGCATCTACACAAACAGAAATTTAAAATAAATGTTAGAAAATCAATTTATGATTTAGCTTTTAGAATTTAATTTTGATTAAAGATTTTTATGAATAAAATTTGAAAATTATTTGTTTATATTATGAATTTTAGAATCGAGGAAAACTTTTCAAAAGGAAATGCTTGCGGTAAAAAAATTTAAGAGCCACTGGTGTGTTCCATAAGTCTGTTAAATTTTTTAAACTTAACTTTATATGACTGGTTTTAGATAATTTATGGTATAATGAGTTATTTATTTTAATGAATAGGTAAAGAGTGATTTTATAAGAGCAAAGCATTACGTGATAAAGAAATTTTTCTAGTTAATAATGCATCTTTTTTTACCAGCAACAATTTAAACAGTATTTCAGAAATTTCGCTTTTCTGATAAGAACAACGTTTTAAATTTAAATTGCTAAAGTAGTTACTCAAAGTGCTTTAAAAAATAAATATATATCAAAAGTGAATGTAATACATGATAATTAAAAGCTATTTAAGTAGTTCTAGAGTCTCAAATTGCAAGATATCTCCCGAA